GCCAAAATTAATCCCAAATTTCTCCGTTTTCCTTCGGTAAAATTTTTTAAAACTTTGCACATTTTTTAATATCGGTACAACAAGTGCAATATCCTTTTTTCTTAAAATTAAATCGAAGGGAAAATTTTTAATATTGATTTTTGACGTTTTTTAGATTTTCTAAGAAACGTATCGATTTAATTTTTTTAAATTGAGGGGAAAAATTCACTATACAAGTATTATCTTTTGTGCAAAGTTTTAAAAAATTTCACCGAAGGAACTTTTTAAAATGACCTGAAAAGGACAAATTTTGAGCTTTATTCTAAGCATGCTGTTGCCATGACAACATATTTTTAACACAAAAGTAGCAATTTGCAATGTTCAGGAGAACATTGGCAATGTGTCCAATAAATTTCGTCTTCATATCTTGTAAAGTAAAGAAACAAGAGTCTCCTGAATACTATAATGTAGTAAATTAAAAAACCCTAGGGAGCCACCTTAAGATAGTTTGTTTTAGGTTTTGGAAGTGCTAGATTGATCAGTATCATTACTTCGAAGATTATATTCTCTATTAAGTTGGTTAAACAAGGTTAATAGCTAGTGAACCATGCATGAAACGGAAGTTGGGAGCTAGTGCTGTGCAAACTCCGGTTTTTCATCTCCGGCTCCGGCCGAATTACAGCTCTGAGCTCCGGCTCCGGCCACATCATAAAATATTAAATAAATGAGGCATGACGCTAACACTCTCAGACTCCACAGCGCAATTGTTCGCACGCAAACAAAGTACTCTTTCAAAAGGTTGATATTTATTTGTTTTGTACTTTTTCGTTATCTACAAGGCATGAATACACAGACTATAGTATGTAGCGCTAGATAAATATTCCGAAGTTGTCTAGTTAACCCATTAAGTTTCATTTCACCCTATGCACCCCATTAAGTTTCATTTCAGCCTAATACAGTACACCCTACTTTATTATTTTACTCTGTCTAATGCCAGCCAATTTTACTCATCAAGGGGAGAGAGCTGGCGCTCAATGTATTCATCAGACAATCAGCCAATGTGTCTAGTTAGTTAATATACTATAGTACGGTCATGTCTTAATCTTTTTCTCTCATTAGATGACATTTTTATTTTATAACTATGATTTTTTAGGAGATAATTGAAGAGGTGAACACACTACTTGATAATATAGATGGTATTACGACAGTCCACGCTAGATTTTACGACTGTCTGATGTTTATCAAAGTAACCAATGTTTGGTGCCTCCAATGACCTCGTTCCCACTCTATGTCCACCGGGACCTATCTGTCTGTCTGTCTGTTTGACTGTCTATTTGTCAGATCTCCGTTTTCAAAGCCAGAACTCCCTTTTCAAGTGCCAAAACTCTGTTTTCAAATGCCAAAACTCTGTTTTCAAATGCCAAAACTCCGTTTTCAAATGCAAGAACTCCGTTTTCAAAAGCTAGAACTCCGTTTTCAAATGCCAAAACTCTGTTTTACGATCAGAGAACATTTATTAATATTATTATGAATAAC